GACACGCGCCTTCGGCCATGCATATCAGACACGCGGCGGCCGTGCGTGGTGCCTGGGCGAGGAAGCTCGTCGATGGCGTCTCTCGCAGCAAACTGGCTGGGTAGGTTGTCGAAGGTGAGGGGATCGGTCTGCGCATATGCGTCGCAGGTTGCGGCGCGGGCCGGGGAGAACCGAATGGAGTGGGAGCTGCTCAGCAGCCGGCGGTCTGACTGCGCCAGCACCTTTGCATCTGGCACCGCGTTTGGCAGCTGTTCCTGAAACTGCAGCAGCTCCTCGCGCGTCACCCCAGCCAACAGCTCTTCCGTATCGCTGTGCTCATCCATGAGCCCGTGCACCTCGACCCCATTCATCGATGGTGGCGACTGCCGTGCTTCCCGCTCCTGGCCAGCGCGACTCGCGTCCATGACCAGGTCAACGTCCTCGACGGAGAACGAGTGGTTGTGGCGTGTGGTTGTGTTGGCGCCATTCATGTTGGCGTTTGTGCCAGTGGTAGTGGCGGTCATCTCCAACGATTCTGCACCGCCATCGCCGTTGTTGTTGTTGTTGTTGTTGTTGTTGTTGTTGTTGTTGTTGTTGTTGTTGTTGTTGTTGTTGTTGTTGTTGTTGTTGTTGTTGTTGTTGTTGTTGTTGTTGTTGTTGTTGTTGCTGTTGTTGTTGTTGCTGTTGCTGTTGTTGTCCAGATCGAGGCGATCGGCATCGAACGAAAACGACGCCATCCTCCCAGAAAGAAGCGCTCGCTTGCTTGTTGAGGAGGAACCAACAAGAACAAGAAAAAAAAAAAAAGAAGAAGAAAAAGAAAAAGAACAGAGGGCGGTCTGTCCCCACACAGGGAAGACAGTACAGTACAGCACCGGAGGGGCAGGGGTGGAGGGACAGGTCAGGCGCCGAAAAGAAAGAAAGAAGTGTGCGATGTGGTCTGAGCGAGGAAGCGAGTGGTGTGAGCGAGTGGGGTGTGCTGCTCAACACACACAGCAGTCACAGTTGCTGGCTGGTCCTCTTGCCAACAGCACCAACAAAAGAGACGGGAAAAAAATCAACTTCGGGGCATCGAAGCGTCGTCATCGCTCTTCGCTGAATTCAGTTTCATCGTGTCTGGCGACACCGCGACACACAAAAGTAGAGTCAACGAAAACAAGCCAACGAACGAATGATGACAGCTCCGTCGTCCTCGTCCTTGTCGTTGCCGTCGCTGTTGTTGGTGTTGTTGGTGTTGGTGTTGGCAGCGGTGGTGGGCACGCCATTCAATCATGGCGGCAGCACCCACATGGTTGTAGCTGCGCCTGTGTGGCCACCAACATCACAGCAGCAGCAACAACAACAGCAGCAGCAGCAGCAGCAGCAACAGCAACAACAGCCCATGTGCCCGGAAGGCACGACGGTGCATTACTCGGCATCGCTTGCCCACCCAGAACACAACTTGTTTGCTGACGACGACGCCGGTAGTGGCGCCGACGATGATGGTGATGACGCCGCTGGCAATGACGACGACGACGAAAACAATAACAGGAAGATTGGTGGCAATGGAGACAATGACGACCACCACCAGCGACAACAAAAACAACAGCACCAGCACCAGCACCATCACCATCAAGGACGCGCAAACGTGCATCGACCGCAACGACATGCGCATTGCGTGTGTGCCTTGGGCATGGTGTGCCGCGGCTCCCTGTGCTCCTCTGCACACGAGCACTGCACGGAAACAGAGGATGAGGAAGGCAATCCCGACTCCGTCTGTACCCTCGTCCATGGCTACCTGGCAGGCTGCGATGACTGCGCCTGCGTGCCGGAGACTTCCATTGCCTTCAAGAAACCGCAACAAGTCTTTCTGGCCATGGTCAACAGGGGAAACTCCTTGTCCTTCAACTTTGCCATCGAAGGAGACGTTTCTCGGCCACACGTCACCATTTGGCAGCCGCCACAGGACAGCTCCGAGGCGGCACATGACGGGCAACACCAACAACACGACGACACAAGCAATGGCGAGGAAACATCCCATGCCGCATCTTCCACACATGCACGGGAAATGACGGTCGCATTCCACACAACAGCCACGACGCCACACGACGGCAACGACAACGCGGCTGTCGGAGCCAAGGAGAGAAACGACGAAGCGGGAGAGGAGCACCGCTACCTGCCGTCCGCTGGTGCCGTTGAGCTCGTGGCACGCCAGCGCCCGAGCACAAGTGAGAAGACCCTGCACATCAGCTTCTGGATTGCCGTCTTGCACAACGTGGAGGGTAAGCGCCTGTGCTACCGCGCGTGGAACGGCGACGTTCACACCGCAACTGCATGCGTGCACGTGCCAACACGCGGCTTTCCAGCACCATCATCATCACCATCATCATCAGCATCGTCCGCGGCTGTTGCGACGATTGGGGTGGTGGGCGACATTGGCATGTCGTACTCTGCACCTTTTGTGATGCAGGCGCTCAAGCACGACCACACGCTGGACATGCTGGTGCACCCTGGCGATGTGAGCTACGCCTTCAAGGTGGAGGACATGAACCTGTACCTGTCGCGGCTGCAGGGCCTGGTCAACCACATCCCGTATCAGGTGTGCTTGGGCAACCACGAGGCCAACAACGCGCGCGTGCTCAGCGCGTTTACAGAGCGCTTCCCAACGGACCTGCTGGGCGCCGCGAGCGGGTCCGACTCTGGCCACTGGTTCAGCTTTGACGCATACGGCGTGCACTTTGCGGTGCTCGACTCACAGGCCGACCTCTCGCCGCACAGCGCACAGCGGGTGTGGGCGCAGCAGGATTTGAAGTTGGCGGCAGATGTGAAGCGGCTCGCACGCCAACGCGCAGCCGCAACCGCTACTGGAAGTGATGGTGGTGGTGATGTGCGGTGGATTGCGGTTGTGCTGCACTACCCGTTGTACTCCACGCACCGGCGGGTGAAGAGCGAGGAGCGGCGGGACAAGCTGAAGCAGATGCACGACCTGCGGGTGGCGCTGGAGCCCTTGCTGCGCGACTATGGTGTCGATGTTGTGTTCGCAGGCCACGACCACGTGTACGAGCGCACCTACCCGGTCCTCAACGCAACCCGTGTCGGTGGTGATGATGGTGATGATGGTGATGATGGTGGCGATGGCGGTGATGGCGGTGATGATCTTGTGCGAGCGCATGCGCCGGTTCACATTGTTGTGGGCACAGGCGGCCACAACATTTATGAGAGCTGGTACAACCTGCCCGACTACGATGGTAAGCGTGTGTGTGTGTGTGCGTGCGTGTGTGTGTGCGTGTGTGTGTGTCTGTGTGTGTGTGCTCTCTTGTGCGTGCGCACTTGTGCATCTTCTCTTTTCCATGCTGCTGCCTTTGGACACATGTATTCTTGTTGTTGCCCCTCTGCGCGCCGTGTTAGCATCGTGAACGCAAAGCTCAACGCTGTTGTACGAACCTCCCACTCACCAAGACCCGCCATCTGTTGTGTTCCCTTCCCTCCTACTCTCCCCAACTCCAACTCCAACTTCCAACTTCCAACACCCTCCAAATCGACTTCTTTCTTGCATCGACTGCACCGTTTTCCAGCCAAGCGGTATGCGTTGCCTGGCTATGGCCGCCTGCTTGTGAATGCAAACAGCACGCTGACGTGGCAGTTTTGGGAGGTTGACATCTCCCCCTGTGTGCGGGCGGACTACGGCGGCGACAAGCTCTGCCCTTCGCGTACCCTGCAGCAGAAACATGGAAACTTTGACCCGCCGGTTGTTCTGCGCGACCAAGTGCTGATTGGCTGAGGTAGAGTGAGATTGGGATCGAGAACATGTGTGTGTGTGTGTGTGTGTGTGTGTGTGTGTGTGAGGGAAAGGTAGGGTGAGAGATGGAGCGTCTAACAGTACTTTAACAGCCCGGGGGTAGAGCATCCAAATCGACTTCTTTCTTGCATCGACTGCACCGTTTTCCAGCCAAGCGGTATGCGTTGCCTGGCTATGGCCGCCTGCTTGTGAATGCAAACAGCACGCTGACGTGGCAGTTTTGGGAGGTTGACATCTCCCCTCGTGTGCGGGCGGACTACGGCGGCGACAAGCTCTGCCCTTCGCGTACCCTGCAGCAGAAACATGGAAACTTTGACCCGCCGGTTGTTCTGCGCGACCAAGTGCTGATTGGCTGAGGTAGAGTGAGATTGGGAGTCGAGAACATGTGTGTGTGTGTGTGTGTGTGTGTGTGTGTGTGTGAGGGAAAGGTAGGGTGAGAGATGGAGCGTCTAACAGACTTTCCTGGCTTGTAGGTGGTTGTGTCGGTAATAAATTGCGCTAACTTGTTGTGCAGTGTAGTGTGCACTTGTGTATTGGTGAGCGAGAGTTGGAGTGTGAGCAAGTGTGATGGTGATTTGCACACACACACACACACACATACAGACAACAAGGATCAAGCCTTTTTCAACTCAAGGGGAAAGTGGGCGTGCAAAGCGAAGGGCAAAGCACAGACAGCACACACACACACACACACACACACACACACACACACACACACACACACACACACACACACACACACACACACACACACACACACACACTACGTCGTTCGTTTACGTACGTACTGAGTGAATAGCAAAACAATGACAGTTACAAAACTCACGGATGGGTCGCTGATGATGCCTGAAAACTTTGGGTGAATGTCTGGGACCCAAAGGTCCGGGTGAACGTTCTCCAGGAACCACTTGAAGGAGTGGCAGTTGAGGCGCTCGCGAATGGCGCGACGCTCAGACAGATCGCCAGGATCTTTTCCGTAGAACCCGCGCGTGTCGTACACAATCTCCTTGTACTCGTCCATCCACACCTGAAGCGGGGGAGGGCGGAAGAAGAAGGTGTTGTTACACGTGAGGAAGATGACAAAACGAGGGCTGAACCATGCACACGTGTTTGTCTTCATGCACGCATACATGCAGGTGCACACAGGCAGGCAGGCAGACATGCACACACACACACACACACACACACACACACACACACACACACACACACACACACACACACACACACACACACACACAGACCCTTGTGTTTTGTTGCATGAACACTGCGCCATGGTTGTACTCACCATACATGGGGCTCCACGTCTGGTTGATGACATCGAGGCACACAGAGCCGGACCTGAAGTGGGGAAAATGAAGTCAAAAAAAAAAAAGAAAGAAAGAAAGTTTGGGAGGTGGAGCGAGGCTGGTGAGGCAGTGGCGGAGATTGAGGGGATGTTGTGATCATCAAACGAGCAGCAGAAGAAGCACGTGTCTGCTACATACTCACTCACTCACTCACACACACACACACACTCACACACTCACTCACACACACTCACATTTCGTCAATGTTGGGATGGAAGATGCGGTTGACAAAGCCTGCAATCGTGACATCAGGCACGGCACATGTGAGCCCGCATGGTGAGCCCGCATTGTGAGCTCGCAACACAAGCCAGGCAGAAGGAAAGGAAAGGAAGAAAAAGGAGAAGGGAAGACACAGTCACAGTCACACACGCACACGCACGCACGCACCAACGGATGGGCTCTTGTACGGGTACTCTGGCGGCAATTCCACTCGGATCCTCCAGTTGCCACCCTCATATGGGCCTGCAAACGCGAAGACATGTGTGCGCGTGTCAGCTAAGACGCAGGATGATGTTTGGATTTCATAGCTGTTGTGCCAACGTGTTGCAAGTGATGTGTTGCAAGTGATGCGCAGCCGACGCACTGTCTGAGGGGCCTTTGAAGGTGACGTAGAACTTGTTGATGCAGTCGTCAATCAGCGCAACATCGTGGTCGCTCATGAGCCTGAAGCGAAGCAATCAAAGGAAACAAACGCAGGGCGATGCCAGCAAGAGGTGAGCGTAAGACGGAAGGAAGGAGGAGAGATAGTCGCATGAGGCACGGCGCATGAAACAAGAGCAAACGTGGGGGTCGGACGCCGCTGCTGGTGTGACAAGGGCGGTACAAGGACTCACAGCTTCATGACGTCTGATTCCATCCGCTTCTTCGATGCGGCGGAGATGACGGGCTTGGGATGGCTCATGCTGGAGATGGGCGGCTCGTGTGTATGTTGGTTTGTTTGGTTTGTTTGTGTGTTTGTGTGTTTGTGTGTGTGTGTGTTGTTGTAGTTGTAGTTGTTGTAGTTGTAGTTGTAGTTGTAGTTGTAGTTGTAGTTGTAGTTGTAGTTGTTGTTGTTGTGGTCTTTGTCAATGTGCACCAGCGTTTGTTCTTCCTGGGAAGGCAAGGGAAGCAGGTGCACAAGGCGAAGGAGTGAGGCGCACAAATGATGCCATGCAAGATGATTGCCGTATGCGTGAGAGGCAGACGGGCAGGCTGCTCCCAACGCGGTGGTTCGTGCTTTGTTGTTTTGAGAGATCATTGAGGAGGGAGGGGGGTGCGTGCTGCTGGGTGCTCAACGACACGCCATCCAACCCACGCACGGAACAACCGTCTGCTCACACACACAAACAAACAAACAAACAAGCAAGCAAGCAAGGCCGTGGGAGACATTCCGCACCACTCACCGCACGTTGCTTGGTTGTTTGACTTGTGTGTGTGTTTGTGTGTGCGTTGTGAGGGATGCGGGTGAGGGCAGCGTCGCTTGTATCCGTTGTTGCCGAGGTGAGGTGAGAGGGCCGGGGAGGCAACGACAATCTAGGGGTCAACCCCACAAGCCAGGAATAGCGAGCGAGGGCGCCAACAAGAAGAGAGGACAAGGCACGTACACAGCAGAAAGGCTGAGGGAAGAACTGAGAAGCAGCAGCGGGAAGGTTTGTGTGTCGTGGACGAACAAACAAACAAACGAACAAGCGCTTGCTGCTTGTTGCTTGTTGATTGGTGTGTGGCAATCGCAAAACGAACGTAACCGCCCGTGCTACTCTTTGTCGTGTTGTAAGCAACACAGCTGAATTCAGTCTTGTGCAATTTGCGTGCTTGTTCCACGCACATACCACCTCCGCCTCTTTGCTGCCGCAGAAAAGACACACACCGACAGAGGGATGGCGGCGCAGTCGCACCAGGTTCACCCGGAGGTGGTGCAGCGATTAAACAAGGCAGAGGCAGCGCTTCACGATGGCGTGCTCATGAAACAAGGCTCCATTCTGAAAAACTGGAAGGTGTGTGTGTGTGTGTGTGTGTTTGGTTGCTTTGTGTGTGTGTGTGTGTGTGTGTGTTTGGGACATTGAAGTTTGTGTTCACGCACTGACTGTGTTTGTGTTTTGTTTGCGAGTGTGTTGACTTTGCTGGGTTGATTTGCATCCACTTTGAGTCTGTATGAGTGTGTGTGTGTGTGCTGTGCGTGCTGTGCATGCACGCGCGCACGCTGGGGGAGATCGTCCCACACTTTCACCACACACCCTCCTCACAAACACACCTTCCCCACAAACACACCCTCCTCACAAACACATACACAAACATGCACATACATTCAATACAGGAACGCCACTTTGTGCTGTATTCATCGGGCCAGTTGAGGTCTGTCGAGTCATCAATGGCATGAGCATTTTTTTTGGCAGGGGAAGAAGGCTGGTGCTCCTGCTAGTTCCCTTCATCGTTCCCAACCCCACTTGTTGGTTGACCTGCAGCTGATGCCAGCAGTTGGATGTATTGCTTTCGGCCCGTGCCACTGCCCCCACTTAACTTGTTCCTGCCCTCGAATGAATACATGGCTTTGCTCTGCGGCGTTTCCCCATGTCTAGGTACTTCAAGCAGCGAGGTCACAACCGACGAGTGTTGAGGGTGAGCGCATATTCTTGCTCCCTATTGATGTGCAGTGCGCACGGTTTATTCGCACGTTCAATTATGAGCCACGCTGCTCTTTTTTCAATCTCCACACACACACACACACACACACACACACACACACACACACACACACACACACACACACACACACACACACACACACACACACACACACGGGACATTTTCACGCACACGACACACTCAAAGCACAACATACACACACACGCGACATGTTTTCACGCACACGACACGCATGCACACACGAGACGTACACGACACACACTCCAAAGCACAACACACATGCACACACGTACAACTCGCCTCACACCTCCTCCTTTATCCCACCTTTGCGTGCGCTTTGTTGCAGGGATCAATTGATCTGCATCAGTGCACGGGCATGACACAGGGAAGGCAACACACGGCGCCACCAAATGGCTGGCCACCCCACGTCCCGGACCTGGCATGCCTGGCCATTCACGCGCCACGACGCACCTATTACTTTTACGCCACAAACCGCGCGGAAATGGACGTGTGGCTGGCGCACCTCGACCCCTTTGTACGCCGCATTCGCCACGCCCAGCCAGAATACCAGAACCTCAACGCCGATCTACCCTAGCACAGGGTGTGGCGTGCTCCCGTTTCGCTCCACAGAGCACGCACGTCGGCACCCTGTGCTGTAGTTGATTGTTGACCTTGTTTTGTCTTGTTTGTTGTTTTGTTTGTTTGCTTGTTTGTATTTTTTCTGTTGCTCCCTGCATCGTTGCTGCTGCTGCTGCTGCTGTTGCTGTTGTATTTCAAGTCAACCCTGCGTGTACATAACCCACTTGACGACTGCTACTAGAGGCCTCTTTTAATCCACATTTCAAAACGGCAATAATACAACAAAACGCAACTGTACCGGTAAAGCAAGCCCAAGCGTACACACACACACACACATGCATGCAGACACGAAAACGCACACACACACACGCGCGCGCACACACACACACACACACACACACACACACACACACACACACACACACAAACTTCACAAGCGCGTGCCCCTACGCATGGAGCGCTTGGCACGCGTTGCCTTGCGCTTCATGCTCTTGATCTGCCGCAGCTTCACCTCCTTGGTCGCGTTCCACTGGTCTCGGAGCTGCGTAGTCGCCTGCACGCGAGCAAACCCACGCGTCTTGTCTGCGGCGAGCGACGACAGCTGGTCATCGTCAAGGAAGAAGAACGACGCCTCGGAGGCCGCCTCTGCAGACTCCTTCTTCGCTGCCGGCGCTGACATGACATTGCGAACACGCGACCCAAGCACCTTCACTGCACCAACTTGCACGTTCGCCTTTATCGCCGCATCCCGCCCGCCAGCACCGTCACCATCACCGTCGCCAGCAGTAGCACTGGCACTTGGCTTGTCACCCTCACTTGCATGGCTCAACACATCGCCATCACCACCACCACCGTCGCCATCAACAGCACCCACGTCACCACCCTCATCATCACCACCCTCATCATCACCACCACCATCACCACCACCATCACCCTCACCACTGTTGCTGCTAAGGCCGCTGCTTCCCGACGCCATGCCGGCAAATCCAAACGAGAATGTGGTGATGGTGTTTGTGTCGCGCCAGTTGCCGCTCGCTGGCTTGAGCTTCTCTCTCAAATCGCCTGCCACGTGCACAAAGCGCTCGGGCTGCTTCTCATCCCCGTCCTTGGCGGCGGCCCCGGCGTCATCGCCATCATCGCCATCATCGCCATCATCGCCTTTATCGTCGCCGCCAAATCGCACAGCCTTTCGCTTCTTGCGCCCGCCGTCCTCTGCACCTTGCGTTGGGGTGCTGAGAATGCTCTTCTTTGGCGTCCTGCCCTCACGAAGCGTCCTCGCCCCCTGCTGCCCACTGGCGGCCGCTGCTGCGTGCTGCGCAAGCGCCTCGCCGCCATCTCCACCGCCATCATCGTCATTGTTGTTGTTGTTGTTGTCGTTGCGGTTGGCGTGGCGGTCGCGGTACTGCTGCATGTTCTCGGCGAGGAGATCGTCCCTGCCCACCTCGGCCAGCGGGTCAAACCGCTTGATGCCAACATACCCGCGCCTCGGCTGCCGCTGCCGCGCCTGCATCACCTGCTCCCACCGGTCCCGCTTTGGTCGCTTGTGCGCGTGGTCGCCCCGGCCCTCATCTCCGCCACGCCTGCTGCTGTCTCTGCCACCGCTTCGCCAACTGCGGCTGTCGCGGTCTGCGCTGGCGCCGTTGCTGCCATCAGCACCGCCACCATCGTCAATGTACTCGTTGTCGGAGTCGTCCGAGTCTGAGGCAACGCTTGCCTTCATGTTTCCGCCCTGCGCAACGGCAAGCGCCTTTGCAGAGGACACAGCCGCTCGCCGACCGCGGACAAGGATCCTTGACAGAATGTCCATCTGTTTTGTCGTCTCCTCTTGAAGAGCAGCGTCGTCAATTGCATCACCATGCTCGGCTCCTGCTGTTGCTGTTGCACTTGTGTCTGCCGTTGCAGCGTCGTGCGCATCCTCCGCTTGCGGCTGATTGGCCTCTTCAATGTCATCAAAGTCCCATCCGTCGTCGTCAGACTCTAGCCCGTGTTCCTCGTTCTCTGACCGCGTCTCCTGCTCTCGGTCGTCTTCCTGTTCCTCCATGTCTGCGTCCTCGTCCCCTTCCTCGTCCTCCATGTCTGCGTCCTCAGGTGACTCTGCAGCATTGTCGATCGCCTCTTCCTCCTCTTTCTCCTCCTCCTCCTCCTCCTCCTCGTGCTCGCCAGCACTGGCTGTATCAGTCACAACTCGTGCATCGTCATCATCGCTGAGATCCTCGCGCTCGTGGTCGGAGAGCTGTGAGGTCTGCGTGGTGGCACGCGCGTGGTCTGCTGCTGTCGCCGTTGCTCCTGCTGCGCCATCGCCATCGTTATTGTCACTGTCGTCGTCATCGCGGAAGATCTTGAGACGCGGAGTGACCTTCTTCGCCTCCACCTTCATGAAGCGGCCGCGTGGGTTCCTGATGGTGAGGGTTGGCACAGCGCGGCCGTACCTGCCCGATGCCCAGCCGGGGAGGGTAGCGAGCTCGGCATCCGACTTGTTCACAACGGCAGACGGAAGGGTGGCCTGTGCCAGCTTCTGTGCGGTGCGTGCACGCCTGCGGGCCCTGGCGCGCCGCTGTGAGCGAGCCAGCGCACGCTTCTCCAGGCGAAGGCGCTTGGTGTAGTGCTGCTTGGCAGGAGCAATGTGCAGCGTGAGCCCGCGAAACTTGCTGGCATGGAGCGCGTTCTGGCACCGCGCCAGCTTGTCGCTTGGGATGTTGGTGTTGACGAAGCAGTACCCGCGTGACTCGCCATCCGGCGCACTGTTGGGGAAATCGGGCACCTCGCCCACGTCACCGAATCGCTTCAAGTAGCGAACAACGTGCTGCGCCTCCTCTTCATTGCTCACACCAGCAATGTGCAACCGCCGCACCTGCTGCGGCGGCTGCGGCTTAGATGGCTGGGGTCGCGGTTCTTGTTGTTGTTGTTGTTGTTGTTGTTGTTGTTGTTGTTGTTGTTGTTGTTGTTGTTGTTGTTGTTGCTGCTGCTGTTGCTGCTGCTGCTGTTGTTGCTGCTGCTGTTGTTGTTGCTGTGGTCTGTGCACTGGAGGGTGTGGTCGTTGGTGTTGAAAGCTGCGATCTCCACCGCCACGGCCTCTGCTGTTGCCTGTACCTCGTCCACGACCGCCACCACGACCGCCACCACGACCGACACCACGTCCAATACCACGACCGCCACCTCGATTGCCACCACGTCCGCCACCGCGACCGCCACCGCGACCGCCACCACGTCCAACACCCCCGCCACGTCCGCGACCACGAACACCACGCTGTTCCTGCTGCATCATCGTTGGTGTGGACGCGTGGGTTACGGAAGATTTGTCGAAGATGCGGGTAAATTGTCCTTTCGATGCAGATCTTTCACAGAATATCACTCTGGCGTGGTATCAGGTACATCTTCCGTAAATTATCCTCTTGGTGAGAATTTTTCTGGTGCTGAGCCACCCACCTTTGCATCTGCCTTTTACCCGCAGCACACGAGGTACGCCGATGATGAGCGAGTGGCTTGCTGGTGTGGTGTGGCTGGCTGTGGTTATGGTGTTGTTGGTGAGCTGGTGGCAGAGAGCGCGGGCTTTGAGAGGGGTGATGATGGTTTGATGTGCACGCGCGTGTGGTGGAATAAGCAAGCCAGCAACAGCAAACACCGTTGAGCGAGCGGAGTGGATGTGGTGTGGACGTGGTGTACAGCAGGTGCAACAACGGAGAGAACGCAGTGATCCGCAGCGTGCAAGCGCGTGTGTGAAGAGGGATGTTCTTGTGGAAGGAAGTTGAAGCGTGCGGATGGATGGATGGATGGATGGATGAATGTACAGTGGTGTATTGTGATGATGGTCCAGTTAGAAGCCTGCGCTCCCACATCAACTGCAGCCACAGCAACCAACAATCACCACCCCTCTTGATGTTGTCTGCCTCTTGTGTTTTTTTGTCTTGATTGAGCGACCTGACCACCCTGTCTCACCTTCTGTGCTGCTGCTGTTGCACACACACACACACACTATGTGCACATGTGCTTCCACAGCCCTCTCAGACCGCACACAGAGCAACCAGCACCATGGCCCACCGACAGATGAGCAAGAAGCGCCAGGTTGGTTTGTATCGATGGTCGTGTGTGTGTGGCTGAACGTGAGTGTGTATGCCACGTTTGGATTGGTTGTAACGATTGTCACTGCCTCTTCGCGCGTGTTTGCCCACAACGCCACGCAGGCATGTCTTTTTCTTTCCCCTCCCTCCCTCACACACACACACATACATGTTCATGCTCACATTGTCTTATTCTCTCTCCACTTTTAGTTCGTCGCTGATGGCGTCTTCAAGTCTGAGCTGAACGAGTTCCTCCAGCGCTCCCTTGGCGAGCAGGGGTGAGTCAGTCGCTCGTGCTGTGCTGTGCTGTTCTTTGAATTGCGCGTACTGTGCTGTGCTGTTGTTTGAATCGCGCCTTTTGGACCTTATGCACACAAGCGCAAGGACACGCACGCACGCACACCTTCCTCTTCCCTACTTGTCTCACACGCACACGCACGCACGCACGCACACATCAGCTACGCCGGTGTTGAGGTGCGCAAGACCCCCAACCGTACCGAGATCATCATCCTCGCCACCCGCACCCAGGAGGTTCTCGGCGAGAAGGGCCGCCGCATTCGTGAGCTGACCGGCCTCGTCAAGAAGCGCTTCGGCTTCAAGGACAACGTCGAGCTCTTCGCAGAGAAGGTCGCCAACCGCGGCCTCTGCGCCATGGCACAGTGCGAGAGCCTCCGGTACAAGCTGCTCGGAGGTCTTGCCGTCCGCCGGTGAGTCGCAGCAACACAAGCCTGTTCCTGGTGTGTGCTGTACGTGTCTTTGCGCGGTTGTTCCTTTGCTGTCGCGCACGCCTGTGTGTATTGTGTCGCATCTTGGCGGAAAAGAAAGGATGCGCCGCTGCAACATGCTGAAAAAGTCCGCTTGTTCCCTGACTTGACATGCCCTTGTCTCTCCTTTCTTGCAGTGCCTGCTACGGTGTGCTCCGCCTTGTTATGGAGAGCGGTGCCAAGGGTTGCGAGGTCATCATCTCTGGCAAGCTGCGTGCCCAGCGTGCCAAGAGCATGAAGTTTAACGACGGTTTCATGATCTCTGCTGGTCACCCCACCCGCGTTAGTCCCACAGCCCTGCCATATGCTGTTTTGTTGAGATGCAGTGTGTTGTTTGACGGCCGGAAAGGGAATGGGAATGCTGAGGGAGAAAGAGAGAGAGAGAACGCGCGCATGCGCTGCAGCTGATCCTGGCTTCTCGCGCTTGTGGTTACGTTGTCCTGCTTTTATTGGCATTGACTTGTGTGCGTCACCGCTGTGTGATCAATCTTGTTGAGCTCACCCTGCTCCTTTGCCGTTTTTACATTATGGTTAATGTTGGATGTGCAGGACTACATCGACACTGCCGTCCGCCACGTTCTTCTGCGTCAGGGTGTGCTTGGTATCAAGGTCAAGATTATGCGGCCATACGACCCCACTGGCAGGAACGGCCCCTCGACTGTTCTGCCCGATACGGTGCGTCCTCTTGCGCTGTGCGCGCGCGCTTGTCTGTGCGTCAGTTTGTGACTGGTGCTTGTTGCTGCTGCAATGTTGCTGTGACTGTTGGGTGTCTCAACGAAGCTCCGCTTCCTTTGTCTCATCAATCACACCCCGTACTCACATGCAAACCAACCCCCACCTTCTCCTCTTTCTTGCGATAACAGCTTGAGATCCGTGAGCCTAAGGAGGAGGATGTGCCAGAGAAGCCCTACGTGCAGCGCCTCGATGAGGTCCCCGCCACAGCTTAAGCGCTGTGCTGCGCTGTCGTCGGTCGTTGTGTCTTCCCCTCTGTGTGCCTCCCTTTTCCGTTTGATCGCGTGTTGAAAATGAACTGAAACACGAACGTGCAAGACAGGCACAGGACGGAAACGAAGCCGGGGGAGGAGGTCGGTTGAGGGAGGGAGACAGCCAGCACTGAACAAGTGCGACAGCCAGCTTGGACATGTGGACAGAAGCAACGTCATCCACACAACACAAGAAGGCACACAAATCATTACGAACGAAAAAACACACACACAAACAAAACTGACGACAACGTTATGTTACATACGTGCAACACACGACACAGACAACAAGAGAGATTATGCGCTTGGTACTTCGAGGCCCAACAGGGCAGGATGTGGTGCTTGAGCTGGACGCGGAGCTGCCGTTCATGATGCTCAAGGCGCTTGCGGAGGAAGACATTGGCGTGAGCGCGGGAGAGATGGTGATTTCCAAAGGCACACAGCAGCTGAGCGGGGACGAGGTGTCGTTGCAGGAGATGGGCCTCAAGGACGGCGACGTGCTCACCGTCAGCACGACGGAGATCCAGAGCTTGCTGCAGGGCCTGAGCCAGGTCAAGGCGCCCAAGTCCAAGCTGCGGCAGTCCGCGGAGGAGCTGGTGGCCAGCATGACAGACAACCCGTACGCGCTGTCGCTGCTGAAACAGAACAACCCAAAGCTGGCCGAGGCCGTCGAGAAGCGTGACTGGGCCTCCATGGAGCAGCAGCTCAAGGAGCTCAACGAGGCGCGCCGCCGGCGCGAGCAGGAGATGGAGCGCCATCGCCGCGCGCTCGAGGCAAACCCGTTCGACATGGAGGCGCAGCGCATGATTGAGGAGCAGATTCAGCTGGAGAACGTGGAGCGCGCCAGGCAGGACGCCCTGGAGTTTATGCCAGAGGCCTTTGGCAGCGTGGTCATGCTGTACATCAACGTCAAGGTAAACGGCGTGCCGCTCAAGGCCTTTGTCGACAGTGGAGCGCAGATGACCATCATGAGCGGCGCGTGTGCGGAGCGCTGCGGGCTCATGCGCCTGGTGGACCGCCGGTTCCAGGGTATGGCTGTCGGTGTCGGCCAGCAGAAGATCATTGGCCGGGTGCACATGGCGCAGATTGAGATTGGCGGCGACCACCTCCCCGTGTCCTTCTCCGTGCTGGAGAACCAGCCCATGGACATCCTGCTTGGCCTGGACATGCTGAAGCGGCACCAGTGCATCATCGACCTGCAGCAGAACCGCCTCGTCATTGGCTCCTCCGGCAACTCCACCCCGTTCCTCTCCGAGGCCGAGATTCCAAAGTCCGACCGCGAGGACCGCTTGAAGCAGCAGCTCCAGGGTCAACAGCAGGGGCAGCAACAGGGCCAGCAGCAACACACGCAGTCGTCGTCATCATCATCAGGTGTGTGTATGTATGCATGTATGCATGTATGTGTGTATGTGTGCATGTATGTGTGTATGTATGCATGTATGTATGTAAGTATGTATGTATGTATGTATGTATGTATGTATGTATGTATGTATGTATGTATGTATGTATGTATGTATGTGTGTATGTATGTGTGTATGTATGTATGTATGTGTGTATGTATGTGTGTATGTATGTATGTATGTATGTATGTATGTATCTGTCTCTCCGTCTCTCTGTTTACTTGTGTTGTTCCCCACTCTCCAACTCTCACCCGTAAACTCCTCCCCCCCCCCTTGCAACCGCCCAGCGACGGGACAACAAGGCGCGAGCGCACCCAAGTACTCTGACGACGACGTTGCGCAGCTGATGGCGCTGGGCGACTTTACAAACGAGCAGGTTGTCCACGCCTTGCGTATGACAGACGGCAACGTGGAGCTGGCTGCGCAGTTCCTGATGCAGCAGGCCTTCTCCTGACGTGGCGTACTGTGACACACGCGCGGATGGCCGCGACGTGCACAGGTGATGGTATTTGGCTGATGTTGACTGGGTGGATGTACACTGACACGTTGAAAGAACATGTGCAGTTTGCATGTACACTGACACGTTGATTACGTTGATTGTGACTTGTATGGACTCGTGAGTGTTGCGTGCAGCAACACGTTTTGTTTGACCCTGTCTTTCACAGCACGCACCTTCTTGGTTCGTTTTGCTTTGTCCACTGCCAGCATGCACTCTTGCATTTATCATGCACCACAACAGTAAAAGAACCCACAGACAGTGAAAGGGTCGAAAACAAAGGGAGGCGAGCAAATGCACCACAGTCAGCAAAAGGGAAGCAGCAACCAATGAAGGACGGCTACAAAGAAGACAAGCGAGGGCGAGGAGGAAGAAAAAACAGAGGAGCACATGGAACGCATGCAACGACCACGAACAAACGCAAACAAGCAAGGTCACACACACACACGCACGCACGCACACGCACACACACACACACGCACACGCACACGCACACGCACACGCACGCACACACACACACACACACACACACACACACACACACACACACACACACCATGCACTTGTCGATTGATTACGCAGCAGATACAAGCGGCAGCGCTGTCAACAACAGTCGCAGTCGCAGCAGCCGCCATCGCCATCGTTCTCGCAGCATGCGTCACCGTCACAGATGCAGCACGCGTCCTCCTGGCAGTTGAAGCCGATGTTGGTCGAGTCGTACCCGCACTCCTCTGCACATACACACACATACACATGCACGGGCATGAAATGAAAGTTAACGCTCAGCACATGCGTCACCACGCGGTCAAAATGCAAGTGCAAGCGCATGTGAATGTGTGTGCGTGCGTGCGTGCGTGAGTGTGTGGGGTTATGTGTGAGCGTGTGGCTGTCTGTGCTAGGCCCACCCCCGCCCCTCTTCATCTCTGCGCTTGTCTCTCATTGTTCCAACAACGAACCGCAGATGAAGAGGAGGAACATGACGATGAAGATGAGAAGCGGCAGCGCGAATATAGCTGTTGGTGTGCATGTGTGTGTGCGTGTGTGTGTGTGTGTGTGTGTGTGTGTGTGTGTGTGTGTGTGTGTGTGTGTGTGTGTGTGTGTGTGTGTGTGTGTGTGTGACGAGAGCAAACAAGAAAGGGATGCACGATGTGAGTCGATTGCACATAACCATGCACACGCATGCAGCCATGCACACGCATGCACACACACACACACACGCACACAGACACAGACATACGCATACGCAGACACACGCATGCAAACATGCATACAGACACACGCGCTGGTGCGGCACGCTTGTGAGAGTGCATGGTACGCACATGCCAGGATGAAGACGACGGCAATTTGCGTATCGCTGTCAACACACAAGGCGATGCAAGCAGGGAAAGACATAACAAGATAAAAGCAATGTGTGAACAGCAGCGATGAAGCAAAGCGTTGTGATGCACGCATGCATGCAATGCTTGGAACCAATCAGCCAAACACCAATGCAGCGACGAGTGGATTGCATAAAGGCGCAGAACAAGTACAGCCAATGGCACAGACTGCGCAGCTACAAACACACACGCACGAACATGCACACACACCCGAAGGAACACCCGAAGGAACACACACACACACACACACACACACACACACACACACACACGTTCGCCCACCTGAAGTCGAGGATGTCACGAGCGGAAGTGAAGCCGACCATGAAGAGGGCGGGGCATGCGACGATGCTGACAATGAACAGCGCAGCAAACACGCCCGTCACACCACATAGATGCACGCGCCCTGCCTCGGGGCTCTCCTTCCGCTGTGTGTGTGTGTGTGTGTGTGTGTGTGTGTGTGTGTGTGTGTGTGTGTGTGTGTGTGTGTGTGTGTGTGTGTGTGTGTGTGTGTGTGTGTGTGTGTGTGCAGACAGAGAGAGAGAGTGTGTGCTATTGTGTGTACATATAACACACACACACGCATCTATATATGTGTGTGTGTGT